GCATTATCGGGGAAACAAAGTTCTGATAACGGTTGTCTTTTGCAATAGATGAACTTGCTTGAAATATACAGAACGAGTAGTGTTGCTTCTGTTGTATGTCAGAACTCCTGTTTAAGTGTGTACACCTTCCAACCTATAAAGCCACACATTAAATGCTGTTCTCTTATGCTTTAAGTTTGAACTATTTTCCTTGCTGCATCTTTTCCTAATTATTTGACACTAGGATTATCTTAACATTTTTCATCAGTATATTAAGAATATATTGTATACTAGACTTATTACAGATACTATTGTAATTGTTGCTAATGATATGATTTAAATGGAGTTTTGCAAGACACTTGGAATATTAGGAAGTTATTTCATATGAAACATAATTATATATGTTTCACTTAGTTTAACTAATTCATGAAAATCAGCAACCATATGTTTCATGACTTCAGTGAACTCACAAGTTTTTTTAATCATATATCACTTTTATTAAAGCTTTTGTATGAAAAAATCAACAGTGCAAGATATGATAGTGCTGAAAAAAGAAAATTAAATAAAATGAAAAAAGTCTTGTTCCTTTCTCCACAGATGAGATACCTTGTATTCGAAGACACAGTTGTGGACAAGGTAGTGGGTTCTGTTGCAACTGAAGGCTATGTGACCCTCAGTAAGCGAGAACTACACAGCTGGATTGGTCTCCGTCTCTCTAACGTCTCTATAAACAGCCTAGCTAAAAATGCCTTCAACCTCACACATAAGGTAAAAAAAAAATATATATAAATAATCATGCATTCTAGCTTAACCTTAAGGAGCAGAGGTCTTTTATGAATATGCTACTAGCCAACTTATACTGTAAATATCAACAAAATGATTAGATTTTGTCTGTGACAGTCTGACATGGAGACAGCTATGGTCGTCAACAGCATGCTAGGGACTGTGGGAACAGGAGCTCTCACTGTTGCAGGAGATGTTTCGGTCACCATCACTGGCAACACCTTCCAGCATCTTCAAAAAGAAGCATTTAAGGTGAATAAGCTATGAGTGTTTCATTATATATATATATATATATATATATATATATATATAATATATATATATATATATATATATATATATATATAATTATATTCTATTTACTTCTCTACCTACTTATCTATCTGTCTATGTATCTATCTATATATATCTATATGAATCCTATTTATTGTTGGGATTAGGTTCCTGATATGCAAAGTACACCGAAATGCCATTAAGCAAAACCATGCCTGTCTATGTGTATGATGAAATTAGTAGGTTTCCATGTGTAACAAGGGGAGAGGAATTGTTAAGTTAGTATATTCTTATCAACTTTAAAGCATTTTCCTCCAATCATTACAGATAGCCGTGACAGGAGATGTGAAGTTTGACGAAAATGTGATCAAATCATTTGACCCTGATGCTCTGGAGGGTTTGGTGTGCCACAACCACACTTCCCTTGAGAGAAACACAGTCCATGTTGGGAAGTTTGATGGACTGGCTCTTAATGCATCAGCTGCTCCCTTCCATGAATCTTGTGGAAGCCCACAGGTTAGTTGATAATGTAGTGTTCATGTATGTAAAAGAAAAGAAAAGAAAAAAGATCTAGATCCAAATATTATAATTATAATTATTGTGACATCTTAAACGCATTTTAAAGTGGTGAACTGAAGTTTTCAAATACCAACCACTTACTAAATTTTAGTTTCTAATGCTCTTGAAAAAAGGGAAACCTTAAAACACGTAATCTAGTGAAATCTTGACCTCCCCACACCTCTCTCCCTCTCACAATAGCTCTTCATGGTGGTGACGCCTCCCGCATCCAGGGTAACATCAGCTACAGCAGTGGCCACATGGCTCATAGGTGTGATTCTTCTAGTGTTGGTAGTTGCCCTTGTAGCAGGTGTAATATACACCTGGAAGACTCAAGGGCTAGTATTACGCTACTACACAGGAAGGGGAGCTCCTATGTACCTTAACGGGCGGAAGTCGTCCCAGGAGAACCTCCCAAATAGTGCTGAGATTAGCGCCAATGCTGAGGCTGCAGAGACTGGCGTGTCAAACCCAATGTACAATACGACAGCACCAAGCTAAGGCTTTAGGCATTTTGAAAGGTGAATGTATGAAAGGGAGATGCGGTTCTTTTTCCCCACGTAGTATGATATACATGAAGTTTCTAGTTATGTAAGATATATATATATATAAAAGTATAAAAATGGTAGTACATTTGCAACTCCCTACACAAAGCAGGAAAAGTGATTTGCTCATTAGAGTATTTAAATGCTTCCTAGTCAGTAAACTACTGAAGGATTAACAGAATTTCAACAAGTAAAACAAACACTTCTATAGATAAGTAATGAAAAAAAGTGTAATTGTAGCATTGTTGCATTTTGCTAGATTCAATAACAGAAATAGCAGTACTGTTCACTGCTTAATATCCAATGTGCGAATGTAAATAAATCTTTGAAAGAAAAATTAAATATATTGAAGATATGCACAA